AAAATTCATTATAAAAAGAGAATTTTATTATATAAATTTTTAAAAATTCTTTATAATGAATTTTTAAACAATTTTTTCAATTTTTACTAATTAGCCCAAAGGCTTCGTTATATCCAGGTTTGACTGTAATTATAAGAATTAATAAATAAATAATTTTTTGCAATAATTAATTTAAATAGATCATTTTTATTTTATATTATTTTTAACAATATCTTTTGAATAGCCAAATCTGAAAGATGATATAAAAACAATAAGAAATATTACATTTTGTATAACATTAAAGCTTATTAATTAAATATAGTAACTTATTGGAATGTTATTGACAAGAATAATTCTTAGGTATTGATGTATCACAGCCAGGATTAATTGTAGTAACTAATAAATTCAGGTATTGGATTATATTGAGTATTAATTTTTTATCTTCTTTTATATTACATCAATTAATAATAGAATAATTTTTCTTTTTTCAGTACTATACACATGAGGACTTCCATCTAGGAATTAATACTTTTTCAAAAAATAATTAAAAATGTCTTTCAAAAAACCAAGCAGTAATATGAGAATTATCAATTATATCTTGATGTCTATAGGAAATTGATTCATTATCAAATAATATATTTGAATAATATCCATATAGCATAAGTCTGTATAAATTAGGTCAATAAAAATCAGCAATGCTAAAGGTAAAAAATATTATTACCTGTGTATTTAATTATTTAATCATGTCTATTAATTCAGATTGACATTTGCTCCATAACTTACGAGAACCACATAAACCTTCTTCAAATCATATAATTTTATCTGCCTTATTCCTATCATTCTCAAGCATCTTCTGTAAATTTCTATGGTATATTGATCAGCATTTAAACATTGCTTAGCATACACTTTGCCCTCTTGAAGAACCCTCCAATGTATTTAAGAATTAAAAGCGAAGTAATGCCAATGAGCATGACGAGCAAATCGATCCTCTTTGTATTTAAGTAAATGTAAAAAATATTCAGCTGGTTTTACATCTTTAGCACGTCCTAGCGAAGATTGGCAGCACCAGTAGAATACAAAGTCAGAAAATCAAAAGCAATATAGCCAGGAGTTTGAAATTCATTAATTGAAACACCATCTATATTGGGCCACACGACCGGTCCAGTTTCAGCTTGCAAACTAGTAAGTGTGTCGGAAGTTGTAATATCTTCATTAGGAATAGGAAAGGAGATGGGGACAAAATTATTAATCATCGACTCATCAAGATTATTCGTGTCATTAAGAAAATTCAGGTCAATATTATCCACATCATCAGTAATTTCATTATTTGTATTTTCTAATTGAAGAATCTGATCACTAAAATATCTATTTTTTTAAAACTTCTTCATCAACAGTGATATTGGTATAATAACGATTATTATGTTTCAATCAATAGAGAGAATAATATACTACAGAATGACGTACATTGAAATCTTTGAATGTTCTGCCATCACAAGAGTGGCGACGCACAACAAGAAGATCAAGTGATGATGGATAGTGAGATAAACGTGTAGCAAATTCTTTAACATCTTGAGGAAAATTAATCACATTACACGATATATATATTGACCACCACGCAGATAATACACGGGGCAATAGGAAATATCTGAGCAATGATTTCAGAATGGCAACGACGTCATTCACCACCACATACATTCATTGGATGTTGTACAAAGATTATTAGCGAAATTATCGATTGTAGAGCAAGACTTGTGAAGTAAGTTTAAATCAAAATGGGAAGATAGTTATCAATGATATGGTATGAAGTGTTCAGCTCGGCTGGACATCAATAACATGTAGATTTTGTATTTTTTTTTTTGATAATATTCACGGTCCTTTCTTAAACGAGTTTTGCGTTGTTTAGCATTCTCATTCAATCTTTTTATATGTTTTCTTTCTCTATCGCGTTTTGACGAAGTTCGTGTTGTTCAGAAGTCTCATTCTTTCTGCTTTAACGTTTTCGAAGGTTATCATTTATATCCTTCGGACAATTATTGTTTTAATACAATACTATAAGAATCCTTTAATTTAATTGCAAAAAAATCAAATTGCAAATTTAAATTCAATAAAATTCTTAAGACATATATTACACTTATAAAAGAATAACATCAATACATGTAAAAGCTTCTGAAGTAATGGCTATAATTAGTTTTAAGGAAAATGTGACACGATTGATTATTAATGTTTCTAGTTAGCTAGAATTGAAATATTATAATACATCAATAAAAATCAAATGGTTTATATCAAAATGCAAAAGTGGCATTTTTCATGGAAATGAAGGTTTTTAGTATAATTTTTTAAATAATATAATATTTAATATCAATCGTCATTAGTCAATCTACATAACCTATATATTATGCAGTATACTTTATGCGAATAAAACTAGAAATATAATAATCTATTATAATTTTTTTACAGAGCCGCCAGGATTTTACTCGAGTTTACCCACCAGCAAATATGTATGAGAACCGGATCATATACCTCTTCACCCAAAAATTGTCGTAGTAGTAGCGAAAATGATTCGTTGTTGTTTTTTGTACAAATGCTAGCTGAGATAATCGTCACAAAATCATTAAGGTACTTTTCCAAATATGGCTCAATCGTTTTTCCTTTAAGATACGGCAATGATGAATATATATCATATCTAAATGTTTCATATGTAAAATCCTCAATAGATGTAAGGAGGTCTCCCGACTCATCACAATTTTCTCCATCCTGTTTAAGACTGTCAAGCTTTTCCAAACATGTGTCCTTAAAATCATCAATCTTTCTCATAATATAATATGAGAATGGGAACTGTAAATCATGGAGGTAATATGGCAATATATACTGATCGAGGCTGGGTTCGGGAAGGTCATCTATTTCAGTTACCTTAGGATCGTCAAACATATTCTTCCAAAATATAAGTAAAGGGCTCCCCTCATTTCCAGGTTGGTCAATATCAAAAAAGGTTTTAATGGTCGATAACCTTTCAAGTGCAAATAACATTTTTGCGACATGACACCTGACCATTGTACGAATACGAGCATGTAAAGCAGCCGAGAAGGATGAATACGGATAGAGTAATCTTTTATCAAATGCAACATCATATTGCCAATCTGTCGAAGATCTTTCTTCTAGCAAAGCCAAAGTTCGTTTCTTTAGGCAATTGATAAAGTTAGGATGTTTAAGAATTTCGGAATTGAGCATCCTACGATTTCAATGTAAAATATTAGGCATTGTAAAACATGTATGTAAATGTTTAACGTTTACCTGAGACGTTTAATAGAATCTTCATCAGACGGATATTTCATGCACAATAGACACCATGATAATTCCTGTTTTAATATATCCTCAAATGGGTAGGCAGTATTTATTATGTTCGTTAGGGATTCATCCAGAATTGTTAATAAATGTTTTCCTTGTGGTTCCAATGTTTCAACTGTAACCTGCTTCCAACCACATATGAAGCTAAACGATATAAAATTTTCCTTTTCTCCCCTGTGAATGTGCAAAATGATACACGCATGTTTGGACGGTGTTCCTACTTTTCTAATCCTCAGAAATTCGTCACGGTACTGCTCGATAATAAACTTTGCCAACCTGATGCATCTTGAATTCACTGTGGCCACCTCACATTGAAGAACTAACATTTGGTCATGAGAATCTAGCCAAAAATGTTTAATTCTATTTTGAAGTTGTATCTCCGTTCTAAAAGTAGATATTTTCTCAACTTGAACGCTTAGTACCGTTTCCAGGCATCGTTTTATATTTGTATTAATGTTTGAAAAAGTATTAACAATAATCAACAATGGATCTGAATTAACCATATGAGAATTATGAGAATTAAGCATTCCATTAAAGCAATTCATCAAGTTATCGTGATGCTGATTTTTAAATTCATTCGAGGAGAAGTAAATTCTTTTCCAACGGAGGCTTTCTTCTTTATTCATCGCAGATTTCGTGGCTCTTATAATACCATCTGTTGAAGCAATAGAGATAAGAGATTCCTTGCATGTTTCAAGGATTTCTTCATTTGTAGCCCCTTCATTTTGATGCATGGCGTTAATAACTAAACTTTGCAAAGTTTTTTCTGAATCATAACCAATAAAGAGATCTTCTAATGTAAAGTCATGACAAACTGTAAAATTATTCTTTTCAATAATGGTAACCATTTGTTTTGTCCAAGTATTCAGCAACTTTAATAATCCATGTTGTTTTTCCGTCAAAGTATCTTCAACAGATAATTTTTGCTTTTCAAATCTACTTAGAAGATGTGGGTCTGTTATTGGTAAATTATATTCATCTAAAACTAAGATGCATTTAAATTTCTTATTGACGTTCCTAAATATATAAATTGAGTTAGTAGGAGAATTGATATTAACAGCTAGTCATTACTGTTACCTACAACATCGGATTATTATCACCAAGTGCAACTCTGGCATAATGTCTAGGGTTATCTTCACTTCCGTGGACGACATAATTTTGATTCCACAAATCGTAGAGAGCGCCTAGAGTTAATAAAACATTTGGTCAAAACAGTTCTTTAGAGAATTTTAAATAAATCCGAAAAAAATACCATAAATAATTTCCAAATCAGTTAGAATAAGAGGTCTTCCAGTCTCAATACACATCTAGAAAGGAAAAAGTTATTCGAGAACTGAGAGTTAATTGATAGAATAAATAATAGCGTACCATGATTTTACTCAATACTCCATGCGAATAATCTTGCTGATCATCAGAAAATTGGGAACCTATTATCACTACAGGATCCAGTCCCTCTTCTTTAGATTTTTTCTCGATGTATAGGTGATGCGTTAAAAAGTTTATAATAAAGTCACTCTTTCCTATTACCATAAGATGCCTGGCACTCTCATCGTTTAAATTGGCATTAATCAACGTTGAAATTGGGATTGGTTTGTATTCCCAGTGAACATAGTTATTGAATTTTTGTAAAACTTTATGAAAATATCCTTCGCAAAGTATCGCATTCTGATCTGTACCACCAAAATTTCTTGCTAAAGCCATTTGAATATTATCAGGTGTCATTTTCGTTGTAGATAAACTTTTGACTAGTCCATAGTAATCACGAAGACCGTGGAAGTTTGGATGAACCTGACCGGTCTGCTCGTACTCCGAGTAAGCTTCCGCAAGAGGCTTAAGGGACACCCTTTGTATTTTTCCTGAGACTTTATTCTCAAGTAAACGAGCGGCAGTGTCAACCAGATCGTCGATACCAAATTTAGGTCTAGACGACAGAAAATCGGTTAAATGTGTTTATTTATAAGTTTTAGGACAACACTAAGCAAACGTGGATTTCAATTTACCGTTGAACTAATAAAGCTCGACTACTTTTACTATTGTCAAGTCTCCAATTACTGATTCCAACTACCGAAACGGTTGGGCCGTCAGCAGGGTAGCTCGGTTCGAGTAGAGAGTGAAGAACTTTCAAGGGATTATGCGGAGAGGTTTCGGCCAATCCAACTAGTAAAATAATAAAGACAATAAATAAGATTCATAATATATTAAATAATCCTATATTTAATTTATGAAATTATATACCTTCGTCGAGTAAAACGACACTAATTACTGGAAATTCTTTCGTGCTAGTTTCCTGGAATTTCTCGGCTTTATGGAAAACTTCAAGAATACCGTCGGAAGTTGAGGATGAAGAACCTTGATGCGGAATAAGGTAAACCTTTTGATTAAGATTAATAAGCAATTGGTTAGAAGTTATCAAGTATCGTGAGTAAATTAATGGCAATGTAATGCATTTACTTGAGGTAGAGTTCGGAAATATCGATCATTTGAATCGGACCCACGAAGATTTTGACCGAT